CACTCCATGAAGCAGGACTGTGGGAACCCAAGTAGTTAAAGGGACAGCTAGCTCTCCTGGAGGCAAGGGTATGTGTGGAGGATGGGGGTGTGGGGAGAAGAGGGTCCTTTAAAGCAGGGGTCACCAACCTTTTGGACCTCAGGGACCACTAAATTTTAAATCCCGCGGACCACTAATATGATTTAAAAAAAGATAAATAGTGCAAATAATAAAATAAAAAATGCAAATCATTTTTCTGCGGACCACCAAAATTTTCTCACAGACCACCAGTGGTCCACCATGGACCACTGGTTGGGGACCACTGCTTTAAAGCAGAATCTGCAGAGGCGAAGCAGGGAGACGGTTCCTAAATAGAACGCCCCCTTTAAAAATAGTAAGTTTTTTTTTAATGACTCAATGCAGCCACGGGACATGGGACAAATTTTGAAAAATTGTGACTGTCCCACCAAAAGCGGGACGTCTGGTCACCTTAACCTTGGTCCCAAGCTGTGTAGGCCTTTAATGGTGACAAATCTTGAATTGCATCAGGAGGCAAATTGGCAGCCAGTGCAGTTCCTGCATGAGACGTGAATAATGTGCACACATGGGTCTGCACAGAACCATGCCAGCTGCTGCATTTTGAACCAACTGGGGCTTCTGGATGCTTTTCAAGGGTAGTCTCATATAGAGTGTGTTGCAATAGTTAAGACAGGAGGTGACTAGGGTGTGAGTGATTGTGAGCAGGGTGTCAGGGTTCCAAATAGCATCCAAAAATAAATCAGAGTCCAAGGCAAACTATTACTCAAAGTTCCAATTTATTAAGAGAGCACATCAGGGAAAACCCGAATCTAAAAGCTTCCAGGTTTTCCCCACCTAGTTGAAAGTTCAAGATCTTGCCCCACACCCACAAATCCATCACATAGTCTAATCTCCCATTGCCATGCTGGCAGTTCCACCCATCCAGTTCTGATCAGGTGTAGAGGTGCAGAGACAAAGGATGACCTTGGCTTTCTAGAAGGAATTTTGTTTTGGCTACACATTAAGTAACTCCATACAATCTCTCCTCCCATTTTCCCACAATAGAAAAAGGCATAGTAGAATAATAAAAGGTGTGGTAGACCAAAGATCCAAGAAGAATATGGCTGCAGGCCTGACACAGGGATTGTTGATCCAGGAAAGGGCATAACTGGCACTCAATCTGATTTCCAGAATGAGTCATGAGTCCAGGAGAACCCCCAGATTACACACTGTCCAGGCAGTGCCATCCCATCTAAGACCAGAAATGGCAATTCTCTGTGGACCAAAAAACCCCAAACTCAGAGTCACCTGGTCTTGTCAAAGTTCAATTTCAGCCCTTACCGCCCATCCAGCTCTTAACAGCCTTGAAGCATCACTTAACTCACCATGGACCAAGATATATAGCAGGGTGTCATCAACATATTAATGATATCTCAATCCATGATGGTGATGATTCACCCAGCAGCTTACTGAGCCCTAGGGGTCAAGGGCTGGACTCTTGCTTCCTATTAACACCATCAGAGTGCCACAGAGGAAGGAAGTCAACCAAGACAACATAGAGCCCCCCCTCCCAACCTCTGAAGTTGCTCTAGAAGGATACCATGGTCGATGTTATCAAAGGTTGACAAAGGGTCAAGTAACACAAGGATGGATGCACCCCCAACCTGCCCATGTCAGAGAGCATCAAAAACATGATCAATGCCATTTCCATCCCATATCCAGATTTATACCCTGACTAGAAAGGGTCTAGATAATCCATTTCATCCAGGAATGGTCATGCAACCACCTTTTCAACAACTTTTCCCCAAAACAGGGAATTGGAGACAGGTCAAAAATCATCCAACGGAGAGGAATCTAGCAACAGCTTCTTAAGAAGAGGGCAAATCACACCTTTCTTAAAATGCTAAGGCACAAGCTCCTCACAAAAGAAAGCATTAATCACTGCCAGAACTCACCTTCATGTCATCTCCCAAGATGTTTTCACAAGCCAGAAGGAGCATGAGTCTAAAACACAGATGCTTGCATGCATACTCCCTAGGATCCTGTCCACTTCTTCAGGAGCAGCAGGATCAAACTGTTCACAGATAACTGGGCAAGAACCTGCCCCATATGCCTTCACCAGACCAGCAACCATGCTGGCATCTAACTGAGAATGAAGATGAGTGATGTTGTCTTCCAGAAAATCAGCAAATTCTCACCATGTCCCATCAGATGGACCTCTATCCTTCCCCAGTAGGAGATAGCTCACCTTAAGGAGAGTTACTGGCTGATTATCTGCAGGTGCAATTAGTGCAGAGATGTACTTATGCTTCAGCCACTCAAATTAAGATAGACTTAATAGTAGCTGTCATCTATGTTTGATTGAGTTGGTCCCTTGTCTTCTGCCAGTAGCATTCTAGATGTCTCCTCATTCATTTCATCTTTCTCAATTCCTCTGCATACCATCAGGGACAAAGAGGTCTATGGATTGGAGAGGTCACATGGACACAATCTTATCAGTCACCTTCCTATTCCAAGCAGTCACTAAAAATTCAGCAGTACTATGCAGCAGATTTGCAGGTTTAAACCCACTTCTTTCTGAAACCTATCCGGTCCCATTAGTTGCCAGGGGTGGACCAACCCAATAGATCCTGCTTCTCTGAGGAGGAGTACCTCTCTCAAGAAACTCATTGCAATCAGACTGTGATCTGACATGACAGGGGTACCAAAAACAAGCCCATCAATTCCAGGTCATATAGGCACTGTTCCGATAAGAACACCAAATTCAGCAGTGTGTGGTTGCTATTCCTTGTTGTAGTAGATGTCGTTCCTACATTATCGTAGAATTGTAGGATTGAAAAATTTGAATAGGGGATCTAGCCACTCAATAGGGCAAAATTCTTTCCTCATCAAGTAACTTTTTGGGAAATAAGTACAGGTTTCCCAAATGATTACACCAAATGTAACAGACCTGTTGACTGCGGATCTGTTGTCCAAGCACATTGTCATGACGCACAGGCAACAGGTAGAAATTTGCATCATGATAGTATGTCACTTGTTTTGTCATTCCTTTTGGATGAAGGAAATATACAGAGTAACAGAGGTGGGTTGCTCCCCGTTTGGCCAGATTGGACGAACTGATAGTAGCAACAGTGGGAAGTTCTGCTCACCCTCCTGGATGCTTCTGCGCATGTGTCATACGTGTGGGAGCATCATACATGTGGGAGTGCACCCGCAGCAGTAGTAAAAACATTGGCAACCCACCACTGCAGAGTAAGGATTACATAAAATATTTTTAAGTTAGCCATTAGAGCAAGAAAGGGCAATCTTTTTTTTCTATGTGTCATGAAGCTACATGATTCCTGACCATGTGCCACACTAAAATATTTGGAAGAATACAGGATGAGGAAAATCATTGTGAAATTATAGAAATAGGAAACACTTTTAAAAATCTGAAGCATTGACTATCAAAAGATGAAAGAAGTTCTTAAGGTCTTCCCAAAGGGTTTGTTGAACTGGAAAGGTTAATCTCTTTACTCCCCTCTTCTTCCCCTTCCACCTGTTTATTCTTCCCTATCATGTTTTTGTTGATGCATATAGCACTTTTAGCATTTTAGAGCTTAGGCAAGTATAAGTGTTCGGAGCATTTGGATTTTGGAAATCTCACAAAATGACCACTCTAATACATATGATAGCTGGTGGGGACTAAGATTAACATACCTAAATTTTCCAGTTCTATTTTTACCTAGAGTTAACAAGAATATTAAATACAACTGCTTCTGTTTCTTCCTAGGGTCTTAATTGTTTTCTTTTTTTGTGGGAATAGAATACAAATTACAAGTAAACATTTCAGTGCTGTGTTGATTAGCAAATTAATTCTGGACTGACTCCAGTCTCATACAATGTTTGGATCAGGTTGGAGATCAGGTTCAAAACCCTATCAACCATAGATTATCTGCCTCACCCTATCCTATCTCCCCATTTAGTAATAAAAAGGTTCACAGGTGTTGCTTCTGAGTCAAACTGGTGTAGTGAGTGAACAACTGGTTGTTAATATATAAAAATATTTTCTGTTTTGAGGAAGGTATTGTATCAACAGATGGACATCTTTTCCTTCTGTACCAGAATTGGCACAATCACCCAACTAATGTCTTTAGATTAATGAAAAATATTTGTTGAGACAAAGATAGCCACAATGTTGTTCTTTTCCTTTTGCAGTTAGTAAAGGACACATCAAATTTCATGCAAAGCAACAATATCAATATTGCTTGACTCCTGAATGCATTGAAGCTGGTAAGTAAAGTATTACTTTTCTCTTAATTTAGATGAAGCATATTGGTACAAAGAGATGTAAACTCTTTTTGTTCCCTTTGGATCTCAGGAACCTGCAATAGATTGAAAACCATTTTAACCATTGATAACTTGATAGTAATTACTATTTAAAAATATATTATTTTTTTAAAAAAATAGTTCTATTGGTTCAGGGAGAGCCAGTTTAGAATAGTGGTTAAGGCATCAAGCTGGAAACCAGGAGATCTTGGGTTGGGTGATTCCTCTTCTAGGAAGGAGGCAATTCTTTTAAAGGTAGCTTACTTCCTTCTAGAAATGGTTTTATTCACCCAAACCATCTGATAGGCTGCTGGGAAGAATTCTTATAGCATTCGATGTACAAAGCTCTCAAATCAGGAGGAGATACAGTAGATTTTGAGAGTGCTAATGGACATAATTGGGACTTTATCCTTTGAAATACCACTATAGTGTTGTGTTTGGAGTGCTGAAGAACTTCCGGGTTGAAAGGATTGAATGATGATATCACCATTGCCCAGGGAACACTCAATTGGGTGTTCACAGTTGGATCCATGCATTTCATGACTGTTTAAGTTCTCCTATTAGGCAGATTGAGGTTGAATTCAAGTGTAATCAATATTTCTGTCAGGCATTCCTCCTTCAATATCCAAGAAAGAAAAACTTCAACTCCATTTGAATAGAGATAAAGTACTTTTTAGTAGATATGAATTGAAAGCAGTGAAAAGGAAAGCAAGATCTGAGCCAAAAAGGCATGAACATGTACATATCAAATATTTACCCAGCACCCTCCCCCCAATTTCCCAACCCCATGTCCAATATGCAACTCCCTAAGTTGTCATGTGGGTGCATCTTCAAAAAGCCTCATCAAGTTGAGACGGTTGGCCTTGACCAAGTCCAAACACAGACCACCAGCATGTGCAGAAGATGGTGACAACAAAACTCCCTTCTTCATAACTCCTCCAGCACCATAATTCCCTCTCCCAAATACCTCAAGCCTCCTCCCTCCCCATTTCTATGGCAGCCGATAGCAAGCAAGGAAAATAGAGGCTGACATTTGGCCTTCCTTTGGAAAAGACATCATCCTGGAGAAGAAGATAAAATAGACAGCAACAATAACAAATTATATATATCACACCTAGGGTTTATCAGGATTCTTAGAATGGAATTTTCTCAAGAGTGTGGAAGCCCTAACATCAGACTTATTCACCCACTCAGCATGGGATGGAGGGAAATTTTTTCAGGCTACCAAATATTGAATTCGTCCCCTTTGTTTCCTAGAATCCAGGGTTTCTTTAACCTCAAAATGTTGCTTTCCTTCAATAAGGAGAGGAACAGGGGCTGGGGGTTGAGGTGAGCACATTAAAGATGTATGTTCAGGTTTCAATAAATTCACACGAAACACAGGATGGATTCATGTAAGGGTTTTTGGCAAGTCCAATTGTACTGACACAGGATTTACAATTTTTACAATAGGGAAAAGTCCCACATATTTAGGACCAAAATTCTTCGATTTCTGGATAGTCTGAAGAAATTTAGTGGACAAGTATACCCTATCCTCAACCTGGTATTCTTTCAGCTTTGACCTTTTTTATCAGCTTGTCTTTTGTGTGCTTTGTGAGCCATATCTAAGGCTTTGCCAGTCATAGGCCAGAGACTTTGAAGCTGATTACTCCACTTGGACAAAGATAAGATTTGTGGTTTCTCTTGAGACAGTTCAAGAATGGGAACAAACTCCTTGCTGAACACTACCTTAAAAGGGGTCATTCCAGTACTGCTATCTACTGAATTGTTGTATGCCACCTCTGCATGGGGCAAGAAGTCAGCCCAAATATCCTGTTGATAATTGACATAGCACCTAAGATACTGCTCCAGAACCGAGTTAGCCCTCTCACAGGCCCCATTAGTCTGTGGATGGTGGGTGGAGCTTAGGTCCTGGGCAGAGCCTATTAGCTTCAGGAACTCTTTCCAGAAGCGGGAGGTGAATTGGACCCCCCTATGTGAAATAATGCATTTAAGAACTCCATGTAACATATACATGTGTAAAATAAATTGTTTAGTCAGTGTTTTTGCTGAAGGAATCTTGGAACAGGGCATAAAATGCACTTGCTTGGAGAACAAATCAGTGATCAGTCAGATCATAGTATTTCCCTGGCTTTCTGGTAACTTGACAATAAAATCCATCGATATCTCCTTCCACGGGACACCAGGTCGGGCGACACTTTTGAAGCAGTCCTTGAGGTTTCCCTGGTGGTCTCTTTGCAGTGGCACATACAGTACAACTAGCAATATAAGATTCTATGTCTTTTTTCAACGAAGGCCACCAGAATTGTCTTTTAACCAAATGTAATGTCTTTACGAACCCAAAATCCCCCCACCCAATTTTGAGTCAAGGGCCTGCTGAAGGACAACACTTTTTAGACTAGCAGGAACATATAGTTTGGCTTCAACCCATGCAAGGCCATCCTGCATGGTGCACTCATAGGAGTGTAGCTTGAACCATTCATCAGATGCAAGGCTTTCCCTCAGTCTTTTCATCAAATCAGATGGCACTTCCAAGTCCACTTTTCCTTGGCTCCTGGTGACCACCAAAGCAGCTAGGTGTTTGGCTGGAATGACTGGATGAATCATCACCAATTTGGCCCCATTGTACTGGGGAATCCTGGACAAGGCATCAGCCATAAAGTTCTTTCCCCAGGGATGTATTTTAGTGTAAAGTTAAACCAGTTAAAATGTTGTGCCCAGCAGACTTGTTTAGGCAACAATTTCCACAGGGTTTTCAACGCTTCAAGGTTTTTATGATCAGTCCATATCTCAAATGGGTGCTTAGCTCCTTCAAGGAAATGCCACCAAGTTAGCAAGGCCCACCAGATTGCAAAAGCTTCCTTTTCCTAAATTGCCCATGTCTTTCCATTTCTGTTAGTTTACGGGAGGTGTAGGCGCAAAGTTGCAGCTTTCCATCTGTGTTCGCCTGGAGCAGCACTATCTCCACCGTCATGTAACTTGCATCTGCTTGGACCACAAAAGGTGCATCCATGTCAGGATGTTTTAAAACAGGTTCAGCTGCAAACAGCCGTTTCAACTTCTCAAAGGCAGCTTGACATTCCATAGTCCATTTCATAGGCTTACTAGGCCTTGGTTTTGCTTCCCCCTTTGATTTTAAAAGATTGATATTTAACAATGCTAGTGAATGAGTGGATAAATTGGCGGTAAAAGTTAGCAAATCCCCAAAAACTTTGCAGCTGTTTGCTGGTGCGAGGAGCTGCCCGTTCTGTCACAGCTCTGACTTTCTCTGGATCCATCTCAATACCTTCATGAGAGATGTGATACCCCAAATAGTCAATTTTTACTTGGTGAAATTCGCACTTAGACAACTTGGCATAAAGTTTAGCGGCTCTGAGTTTTTTCAGGACAAGTTTTATGTGTTCCTCGAGTGTTTCTGTGTACACGAGGATGTCATCCAGGTAAACTAACACCCCCTTGTACAGGTGTTTATGTAGCACCTCATTAATCAGCTGCATAAAAACAGCTGGTGCCCCCTGTAGTCCAAAGGGGAGAACTCTAAACTGGAAACACCCCAGAGGGCACTTGAAAGCAGTCTTCCACTTGTATCCTTCTTTTATTTGGACCCGGTAATAGGCATCCCTTAAATCTAATTTTGTGAAAATTTTCCCCTTTGCCAAGTGCACCAACTTGTCCTTCATGAGGGGCAAAGGGTACGTGTTTTCCACACAAATGGCGTTCACATTTTTATAGTTCACACATAAGCGCAGAGAGCCATCTTTTTTCTCTTGGAATAAGACCGGTGCGGCCACCCGTGGCCTAGCTGGTTGAATGAACCCCCTCTTTAAGTTTTTATCAATGAAATTGCATAATTCCTCCAGTTCACGTGGGGTTATAGAATAAATTTGCAGTTTAGGGAGTTCTGTCCTGGGAGGTTCTCTATGCTGCAATCTGGCGTGGTGGGGGGGAAGCTTGTCAGAAGCCCTTTCACTGAATGCCTCTTTGAGGTCCCAATATTGTTTCAGAATTCTTTCCTCTCCCACAATTTTCTTATGCGTGACAACTGCTAAGTTAGTTGCAGCTCTGGCTAGGTGGGAAGTCTTTCTCTTCCTCTCTGTTGGCTTAGCCAAATGGATGAGTAGCCACCTTTTCTGCCAGTTCACATGAGGGTTCCATTTCCACAACCAAGGTAATCCCAATATGAGAGCCATTCCATCCCTGGTGCCACAATGAAACTCAGGGTTTCTTGGTGGTCCCCCATCCACATCTCCGCCAGTTCGGTTACAAAATGGGCTGCCCCTCCCCAGCAATTGACCCATCCAGCTGGCAAAAGGTAATGGTACTTTCATAGTTCTCAATCATAGACCCATTTTCTCCACCACTTCCGGGCTGATTACACATTGGGTGCATCCAGAGTCTAAAAGGACCAGCATGTTCCCCTGGGCTCCAGTTGAGGGTACTTTTAATTCTACTGGGATGGTCATGGGGCCTGATCTTACTTACCAAGTGTTCATCATCTGAATCAGTTTCACTTTCTCCCACAGAAAAGGAGGGTTCCTTCTCCTCCTGGCCTGGAGGAAGGACATCAGCACCTTCCATGCCTTCCAGGGCAGTTTCATAGCAGCTCCCTAGCTGCCAGCCAGGTTCCTTTCCACCAGCTGGGGTCAGTTTTGGGCCATGTCTAGCACAGCAGTTGGGCTCCCGATGCCCCTCCTTTCCTGCTTTTGATGCCTCCTCGGACCACCCTTGCATGTGCACAAACAGCTCACAAAACTGCTGAGTGTACTCAGCCTCAGGCCTCCCCTCCTTGGTTAAGGGTTTCATCCTGCTTCTTGCCTTTTGATTTAGGAGGGAGTCATCAAAGCATTTCCATTGAAGAGCCAAGGTGGCGCAGTGGTTAAAAGCAGCACTGCAGGCTACTGCTAGATCAGCAGGTCAGCGGTTCAAATCCCACCGGCTCAGGGTTGACTCAGCCTTCCATCCTTCCGAGGTGGGTAAAATGAGGACCCAGATTGTTGGGGGCAATATGCTGACTCTCTGTAAACCGCTTAGAGAGGCCTGAAAGGCCTATGAAGCGGTATATAAGTCTACTGCTATTGCTATTGCTATCCTCAGGGATGTCATAAACACCTTATAATCCCTCAGCAGGGGGAATCATCATTACGCAAAGCTACCATCCAGTCAACCACTTTGCCTTCCAAAGTCATAATAACACTTCTAACTTTGGCCGCTTCTGATGGGAAATCCTCACCATACTCTTGCATGTAATCCCAAACTTACACTAAAAAACCCCAGTTCTTTGGGATCTCCTCTGTACTTCACTCCAAGAAGAGAAATATTTGGCATTCAGTGCCAAAATATTTGAATAATCCACTCTCCCTTTCAGTGAGACTTTCATGGAAGCGTCATCATTCCCAAGCTTCCTGAAGAAGGTGTAAAGTATGGGTCATCACGAGATCCTCTCTTTCAGCTGCCTGCCAGTCATCCTCTGGTTGTTGGCTGGTTGTGATCCCTGCCATCATCTTCTCCTGCTCGCCACAGGGGTTAGACATTTGGATGCTCCCCCCATGGAAGCTTTTAACTCCGGGATGGGTGCAAAGTGAGATCTTGCTTAATGTCAGGCAATCTTCCTTCAATATCCAACCTTATCTGTTTATAAAATGTATTGTCCACCCATAAATTACTATGTGATAAACCGGGGTGGCTTACAGACATAAATGGAGGAACATTGGGACCCTAGGCCAATGGCAGAGCCAGGTCTTTAGACCCTTGGGCACAATCTCACATTGGGGGCATGATATTGCAGAGGGCAGGAGCAACAGCAGAGAAGGACCTCTTCCTGTATGCCACCAGCTGGAATAATTCATAAAGGACTTAAAACATGCAATTGGCGCCAACACCCTGAATTGCATCCAGAAGCAGACCAACAACCATGCAGCTCACAGAGCAGTGATGTTACAGGGCCGTTCTTGGTCCCTCAAAACTGTCTGAACCACCAAACTATGCAACAACTGTAGCCTTTAAAACTCTTAAAGGGTAGCCCCATATAGAGCTTATTACAATAGTCCAACTGTGAGATGGCTAGGGACTGAACTACTGAGCATAGGGAGTCCTGATCCAGGAAAGGCACTGACAAGTTCTGGAGAAGCAGTAATGGAAATTTTGAGTAGTTCAGAGAACTGGTAAATATCACCTCTGACTGGCCCCGCCCCCATCTATTAGCTGCGTCCCGAGTCCCCGCTGATCAGGAGAGAATGGGGATTTTGCAGTGACCTTCTCCAGGAATGGGGAGGGAATGGAGATTTTGCAGTATCCTTCCCCTGCCATGCCCACCAAGCCATGCCCACAGAAGTTTTGAATCCCACCACTGAGCCAAACCAATGCAGAACTTTGCTGCTCATCCCCATTCCTGCAGCCAGCCCAAAAGGATACTATGATCGATGGTATCAAAAGCCACTGGGAGGTCAAGGAGAGCAAGAATGTTTGCACTATCCCCATCCCGCTCTTACCAGAAATCATCAACAAGTGTAACCAATGCAGCTTTCATCCCATAACCAGGCCTGAATTCTGACTGAAAGGGGTCCAGATAATCTGTTTCATCTAGGACCCTCTGCAGCTGCCAGGCAACTATCTTTTCCACAACCTTCCCTATGAAAGGAAGGTTGGAAACTGGACAAAAATTGTCCAGGCAGATGGGATGCAATGATGTTTTTTTAAGGAGGGGACAAATCAGGGCTTAAAAGCATTCTGAAATGTCCCTTCCTTCAGTGACATATTAATCACTTCCTGGACTTGCCCACTGGCCACCATCCTAGAGGCTTTCACAATCCAGGAGGGACAAGGATCTAACTAATAGGTGGTGGCACTGACAGCATCAAGGGCCCTGTTCACCTCAATAACCACAAGCTAAAGGAAGATGAAGAGAAGAGACGTGGCAACCAAAAAATTCCCTGAGATTTTAGCAAGGCTAGTTGCAGTGACAGATAGTGAAAATCCAGATGCACCCAGAAAAATGAAAGCCAAAATGTTATTGAATAGCCCAAAATCCATAACATGAAAATCAAGGAAAGTGAGATTGGCCAATGCTTAAGAAAGATTTCTTTCCTTTCATTTCCTTTTGAAATCGTAGCCTATCTGAACAAAGTCAGATGGGATAGGTTAAATGGTGAGATTAATTATGTGGAAGTAAAGGGAATATATAAAGCCAGAAAATAGTAATCATAAATCTGGAAGTGATTTGCATCTCTTGTATAGCAATTAATATTATCAACTGATGATCTATGAAATTATATAACTTTTTCCAGCTGCCTCCATCAAAAGCAAGCTAAATGTGTCTGTGGACCCCTGTGATAACTTTTTCCGATTTGCCTGTGAAGGATGGTTTCAAGATAATCCAATGCCAGAAGATTATTCAAGTTATGGAACCTATTCTTGGCTGAGACATAATGTAGATCTAAAATTGAAAGGTAAGTGGATCCTTGCTGAAGGACTTTAGCTAACTAATTTGCTTCATGTAGCTTTTTGTTGTTGTCCTCATTTGTTTCTACTTATTAAGAACAAACTTTAGTGTATTGGATAGTTGCTGATAAAATAATTCATTAAACTTGTATGCCACCTAATTCTAAATAAGGCCAGGTGGCTATCACTTAAGGTGATACTGTTAATGCATAGATTTTGTTTTTGGTTGATTATAGATGCCAACTCTTAGCAATCACACAAATTTTCTCCATGGCCATCTATCTCTAACTGGGTCCTTCCTATTCCTTTCCCATAGTTCTTGCCATCTATTCATATGTATATTATAGCCAATGTTTATCGCCCATGCAATACCGCCATTGTCTCCTTAATCTGCTCTTCTTCCATCTTATATTCCAATAAAAAATTGTAAATCTTCTTAATCAATTTATCATTTATCCCCAAAAGGATCTTGTCTATTGCCATTAATGCCACACTCTTTCATATCTTTTGAGTAACATGATTGGATTTGGAGGTAAGACCACCATTCCAGATCTATCCCTTGTTTTTTTAACTCTTGCCTCAATCTTAATCTCCCTTTTTTATCTAATTTATCTTTATAGGTAACCTGTTTTCCCTGATTAATAAAGTTTGGGTGCACTAATGTTGATAGCCAAATCGGTATAAATTTTCCTCTTTAATTTATTCCATGTTTCTAATAGCCCCTATTTTATGAAGTGTCTCTGAAAATATTGATGTGCTACCTGCTTCCTGTACCGCATGGCATCCTAAATGTAAATCGTGGCTCTCTAGTGTTAGCGATCTATTATTTTTTTAATCTATCCATTCTTTTACCCAGGTAAGTGTTGCTGCTTTATGATATAATTCCCATTCTGGTACACTAAATCCTCTTTTTTCTTTTACATCTTGCAGAAGTTTAAATTTAATCCTTGGTTTCTTCCCTTGCCAAATGTATTCTGATGTCATTTTATTCAATTTTCCAAAGTACTTTTTATCTAATTTTATTGGGATATTTTGAAACAGTAATAATAATTTCGGTAGAATGTTCATTTTGATCCTTGCTATCCTTCCCATGAAGGAGAATCTCGAATTTTTCCACCTCTCCAATTTTCCTTTTATATAGTTTGTTAACTTAACATAGTTGTTATCTGTGATTGATGTACACCTTTCCGTTATATAAATTCCTAAATATTTCATTTTTCCCCATCTGGATATTTATTCCTTTGGCCAATTCCTCCTTCTGCTTCTCCGTCATATTTTAAAATATCATTTTAGTTTTATCTTTATTAATTTTCAATTTGGCTATTTTGCATCTTGGAGCGAAGGGAAAGGACGTGACAAGCGGGTATGCAAACAGCAACCTTTATTG